GTTTTATACCGAAACTTGATGAATGACATATGCCGACATATGTGGCCCTGACCTGTTTTCACTCATAGAAAAACTTGATTGCAACAAACATAGCACTCTTTTGTTATTTTCGGTCAATAATGTCATGTCACATGAAAAAGTTAAAGTAGAAAATCGTTTGTATAAAAATTAAATTAAATTATTATTATTATTATTATTATTTTAAACCTTCCCTTTTATTTAAATATCTCTATTCAACGTAAGTCCATGCATAATAATATCATTCATCAAGTTTTATACTCAGGAAAACGTGTCTAACTCTCACTTCTCTAACTAAGAAAACAAAAGACATATCCCATTTGGTTATAAATTAAGGTTGGTGATCTTTGAATATTTCATGCTATATATTTCTCCATAGATCGAGTCCATATACATGTCAAGATCAATCAAAACTGTGCAAACTAAGTTTTGTTATGAGAGAGAGAGAGAGAGAGAAATGGATCATGAAAACAACTTTCCAACTTGACAAAATTAAAAAACAAACCCAAGAAATGACTTGAAATGAAGCATGGAATTCCAAGGCATAATATATGATATGTGATGAAATACTTCACCTCATTTGTTGTCTTTGTGTGGTGGGTATGTATGAGGTTGCCAAGAAACTTTTAAAAAAAGAGAACGTTACACCTTAAATGGTGCTTAGATTGTGTATTTATAAACCCATGAGATGGTTTAAGCACATTTTTATTGAAGGAGTCTCCTTCAACTTCAAGTTTTGAATTGAATTAGTTTAACGTAAAGTACCTAATTAAGCACCTTAATTACATTGCTAATTTTTACGATATCTACGAAGCGTATAAATAAGTGATGTGTATATGATGTCTCCTTTTGCCAAGTCAAATCATTTGACATCACTCTCTTCAATTCATCCAAAAAGCCTTTGCACCCACCCGATCGAGAAAGGGAGGTTTTCAACATATATAATTGGAGGGACTTGCTTGTTCCTTTCACAAAAGCTAGTTAGGAAATAATATGTTCACCATTTACAAAAGTAACTTTTTTCTAAAGCGCTTTTGTGTAATTGAAGAAACAAATATTTCCCGTACGTCCCTAGTCAGTTGGTAATTAATTAAAGTGCACCTATTTGGTATTTACCATAATCAAGGGCTTATTATAGCTAATTAAAAAACAATTTTTTAGAACAAAGTGATCAAAGTGGAAGTTTTAGAACAAATCAGAGCATAATAAGTTATGCAAAGACGACTTAACTCACTCTCATTTCCTAGTTTTAACTATATCATTAGTTATCTATGAATCTAGTGATAAAATAACTCTACGATAATAATGACTATATTATCAGTATCATGGTAATTTTTTTTTTTCTATTCTCAATATTCATAGACATTGAAATATGAGCAAGACATATCCCATGAATTTCTAAGAACCCTAACAATGGCTATGAAATTCAACACAGAAACACAACTACATAATAAGGACTATAAATTTTTAGGACTTAGGAGGAGGACGAAAAAACAAAGGGATGGTTTTGGGAAAGTTTCACCTAAAAATGAGGTGTTTAAAATCACAGGCGGACCTTTCAATAAAGATCCCAAGAGATTCATTAATCATGATGAGAAAGACAAGTTAATTAATCTAGTTAATCAATTCAGTTTAATATAATCTAATAGTGAAATAGTGATATATAAAGTCCCCCGCACGTGAGAGTAAAATAAAGGACACTACTTGCCTCTTTACATGTAAGGAGATACTCTTTCTTCATATGAATTACAATTTGATACATATAAAAAAATTCTTCGTAAAAAACACAAAAACAAACCCTTCTGCACATATATCACTCTATTAGGGAAGTATTTTCCTAAAATAAAAAGGAGATACTTGCTATGCATGGCTGCTCCACCATCCCAACGGTTGCTTTGCTGTTTTTCCACCCGTGTGTAGCCTCCTACGCTGTTCTAACGGCCCTTTTTTTATTCCCTTCTTGTTTCTATTGTGCCTTCAATCTGATCATGACCTTTTCATTACTTTTAGTTGTTAAAAATTGTTGGTAGTGCATCGCACATTATAAAAGTGGCAAGAGATAAAGATGAGAGTCAAAAGAGTAAAAAAAAACAAATAATGTTCAATTTTTTTTTTCTTTCTAAAGGGATCTAGATAGGTCTTTCAACTTTTTCAGAAATAAAATTTTACTATCGTTTAGGTGTAAAATTGGAGAAACTTTTTTATGAAACGGAACGGGTATAGCAATTCTATGACACGTATAATAACATTTCTACGCCTGAACAATACTATCTCCATTGCAACTAAGTATTTCTCGTAAAATTGACATAGAAAACTTTCATGATTTAAAATTATCCCTAAACCCTAAAACAAGGTGCCAACTAATTGAACTGGTAAAGAACTATTCTTGTTAGTGATACAAGGTTTTGTGATTTTAATTTATTTTATTGAAGAAGTTTGAGATTAATACACTCAAAATGGATAAATGATTTAGGTATAATTTGCATAATCAATATCTTAATTAACAAATTACTCCTTTCGTTATAGATTTTTTGGCCTACACTCCTTTGATTGTGGATAAATACTCTAGTAAACTATATAG